ATCCACACAAAGTTCAGGTTAGAATAATTGTAATATTACTTAAGAAAGTTGAGCAGTCAGTCCTCTTATGTGTATTTATGGATTTCTAAGTTTCATTTTTTATTACTTAAAGTTTGGGGGTATAGGTGGAGAGAAGGTAATTTTCTTAATTCAGAGCATATTTATTGACCATCAGCAGTGTATACAGAACTGTAGTGAACTGTTTAGGAACACAAAAGAGGCTGTGGGATCTGTGGGATTAGTCATCCGGTATAACCCTTTGACTTTGTGAACTATGAAAGTTACTTAACCACTTCCTGCTACAGTTCCTGCCTGGTGGTGATGTGAGGATTACATGGAATGATGTGTTTAAAGCTCTTAGCCCAATGTCTGGCCCAAAAAGGATACTTAATAAATGTCAGCCTGTTATTGGGATGGTACTGGCCATAGCAATGGGTGGTGGTGGAAGTGGTGAGTTTTAATCTTTATCATTATTATTAGAATTATGAAGTCCAAAGAGTTTAATGACTTAACCAAGTCACCTAGGTTATTGACAGAGCTGGGACTCTAGATAGTCGCTCCCAGGCCCAGGCCAGCATTTTTTTTTTTTTAATGCCCTAGAGGAGTGGTCGGCAAACTCATTAGTCAACAGAGCCAAATATCAACAGTACAACGATTGAAGTTTCTGTTGAGAGCCAAATTTTTTAAACTTAAACTTCTTCTAATGCCACTTCTTCAAAATAGACTCGTCCAGGCCGTGTATTTTGTGCAAGAGCCATACTCAAGGGGCCAAAGAGCCGCATGTGGCTCGCGAGACGCAGTTTGCTGTCCACAGTCCTAGGGCAGTGGTTGTCAACTGGTGGTTCATGAGGTCCAAAAGGTTGGCGACTGCTGCCCTAAGGTGTCTATCTTTATAGCCCTCAAAATGCATTAGGTCTAGTTGGGGGGCAAATGTTATGTATAAGATCATTAAAGAATGATAGGCCTATGGTCAAGTACAGTGGAAGCAAAATCAGGCTTCACAATATATAGAACAGGCAGGAAGCATTCTGATTGGTTCAGTCCTGCCTTCGCATCCCCATGTTTGAATAGCAGTGGCCTATATTATCTCTATAACACTCCAGAAGGGGCAATTAGTCATGAGCTTCAGAGCTCAGTATGGCATCCTAGGCAGACATTGGAGAAGTCACCTCACCCTTGAAAACTTTGTTTCTTAATTTGCAGGATTTGTTAATTAGCTAAGAAGCACATTATATGAGTTATATATATTACATGGGTATTTTACATTTGTTAAAATAATATGATCATTTGCTTATTGATACCCTTTCATACTGCACAATTGGAAACAGTCTTTTATACATGTGCATTCTCTTGGAAGAGGTGAAATATCCATTGTAAAACTCTATTTCCTTTCTTGACAGCATTGTTTAGGCCTCTATTCCCTCTTGCCAGGACCTAAATCAACCTACCAACTGATTTCTGCACCTCCACAGAGTCTCAGTTGTCTTTCTTGTATTCTGTATACTGTTGTCATATTGCCATTCTTCAGATGCAACCATTATCCTTTCTCTACTCACAAACTGCCATGGATCCCACAAATCATTTTATATCCTGTCTCCAAACTTACCCACATGCTTTGTCATTTTCCCAGAGACCCTCTCTTATCTCCTTCTCTGCCTCTTTAAATCCTAACCATCCTTGAAGGCTTATTTTAATTGTGAACTCTTTCTGAAATCAACTCTTGTTCTGATCCCACAAGCCAACGTGACCCATTACTCCTTTGAACTTTCCTAGCACAGTCCTTTTGTTTCCCCTTTACGATGGAACCCATTCAACATTGCATTAGATATTCAGGTATTATTTTCATCCTGCAGGGACAAAGACATTATATGCCTTTTTATCATCTTAAGTTTAAGGCAAATATTGTATGTGAAAATCAAGGTGGTGGGGAGGAAGAGCAGAGTTTTCAGGGTTAGACATCCCTGAAATGAATCTTCTGCTCGTTCTCCTTCATTCCTGGTTACAGAGCTTAGTTCTTCTCAACCAAAAAAAAATATACTTTCCAGAAAAGATTATTTTGAGAATTAAGTTAGATGTAATAAAGTACTTTTCAAAACATGGCCCTACCAGTACTCAGAAAAGCCTGCTGAAAGCCCACACTCTCTTCCTGTCAAGTTCACAGACCCTGAAAATACCTACCCCTTTTGCAGGAATATGTGGTCAGTTCCCCTATCCTTAGATATGAGGCTTTCTCTTTGGCTGTCCCAGAATCACTGAATCAAAATCCATTCTGATAAACTTCCCTTCCATATGATACATACAGACAGATGGACCAGGGGACGTTCCACACAAGCCTGCTTTGAAGAAGGGTGTGTGTGTGTGTGTGTGTGTGTGTGTGTGTGTGTGTGTGTGTGTGTGTTATTAGGATTATTTAACCCAAGTTGTGAAACCCATTCTCACTTCAGAAATTTAGTGAGGCTTTAAAATTCAAGACACACATAATCAGTTTGCCAAGCCCTGAAGTTACTCACCAGAAGTCCAACAGATACTATACAGCAGTGTCATAATGCTGCCAAGCCACCTGCTGCTCTTGGCTAGGTGACAGCTACAGTGTACTGAGTGGTTCACAGGAAGTGAACATACGGGCAAGTAAAGGAACATTTCTGTGGGCTTAATTATTTTTTAAGCTTTCTGAGAGGTAGAGCACTATATTTACATGTGTATTTTTATTCCTTCACCTGTTCTGTTTCCCTTGACATTTTAAAAAGATAATCAAGGTAAAAGACACTTTTCCAGGGAAGAACATGATAGATAAAGTGTTAGTTACAAGTGCAGCTGGATGTTCATGGTGAGGGAGAGGGCCTCATCCTCTGCCTCTCAGTGCCCTCAAGTCTGTTCCACCCTCACCTTGCTCTGTCTTTTCTTGCAAGAGGGGGAGTATGGACTCCTGAGGTTCCCTCCATGCTGAGGAGGGAAGCAGTTGCTCCATCCAGCTAAGGTCTCAAACCCATCCTGAAACTTGTGAAGGAAATTTAAGTTCAGACCTTGACACTGACCATCCTTTCTCATCTTCTTCAGTTAATGAGAAATGTGAATCTCAGAGCTCCACGAAGGCGCAGCCATTAATAAGTACCTATTATATACCAAGCTGCTAGTATATAATGAGATGATGGGTGATCCGGACCCATGAAGGAATAATCATCCCCCATAAAATATAAAATATTATGAAATAAAAGGGGGAAACATGCAGACAAATTTAATATAAAAAACAAATTAGGGACTGACTAGCAGAATTATTAATCAGAACTCTACACGTACAGTCAAGCCTAACCATTTGTTTTTTAACTAAAGGCCCTTCCTCCATGAGAATCTGTCATTGAAAGATGTGTTTGAATTTCAGAAAGCATATGTGGGTTTCAGAGCTTTCCATCTCTTAGCAGTGACTGTTTTTATATAATGACAGTTATTATTAAGCTTTATCCATTGCTATTAATCAAACAACTAAGTGTTTCTTCTTAGGAATTGCTGTATCCCTTCACAGCCCTCCCTGATTCTATCATTTTATGAATGACCACAATTTCTCCAAGCAATAATCCTGGAACTCATTTCATAACTCCCCCTTTTCCATCATTACCAAACTTTAGAAGTCAATACATTTTGATTCTAACTTCTAAATAACTTAAACCAGACTTGTCCATCCCATCCCTTAAATTTATCTTATCTTATTTTAATGACTCCTCTGGCCTCTGTGGTTTTACTGATTATAATTCTTCAGTTGCTACCCTACTCCCCACTATATCTGTGCTCATGACATGGTGATGTTTCTAGATTACAAATGCAAAATTGATGGTAACCTTCTCCTACTTTATTTGTTCTCCTTTGACGAGGAATCAGTTCCATTTTACCAGTACTAACTGACTGCCTCCTGGTGTCAGGGTTTATATTAGATGACAATATAACCCCAATAGTCCCAAATTATATTCAAGTGTGATAAATGGTTTTGCTTTTCATAATCTTTCAAAAGAAGAGATTATTTGTACTAATATAGTTGTACCACTAATTTGACACAGTTGTGTTACAAAGATTGATATATGTTCTTTATTTATTTAAAATGTATTATGCTACTACTGAAAACAAGGTATCTAGATGATCTAGCTTTTTAAAAAAAAAATTACACGGAATCACATCTCATACAAGAATCTACTCTGAAAATCACATGCAGTCAAAATTATCCTTAACAATCCCTTAAATCAAAGGTCGGAAAATTCTTCTACATAACTAGTTTCTGCTTTGTGAACCATATGTTTCCTGTTATAGCTGCTGGTCTCTGCTCTCATAGAGGGAAGCAGAGACAATACCTAAATGAATGTGTGTGTGTGTGTGTGTGTGTGTGTGTGTGTGTGTGTGTGTTTTCTCTAATAAAACTTTATCTACAAAAACTGTGGTGCAGGGACCATAGTTTGAAGGCCCTGCCTAGTGAAAGGAATATTAAAGTCAGGGTGTTTGCAGGGTGCTGAGGTGACTCAGAGTTAGGGAGAAATCACACATTTCTCATCACAATAAATTAGAAATATTAATTTGCAGTTCAGAACTAATTCCAAAATACAGATGAGAGAAAGCTGTCAGAATCATTCAAAATAGAAAAGCCCAGGGAATGTTTTGGCTGGTCACTGAAGAAAAGTTTCAACCAAAAACATGGAGGTATTTTTGTTAAAAGCATCCAGAAACATTACAACCCTACTGATGACTTGCCATTTAAAAAAGAGGAAAGAGGAAAGGTACATTAGGGGGGGGAAATATGTCTTCTGGTGGAGACTATTTTTATTGTCAACATTCTTTTGAGGTCAGAGATTATTACTGATTTTTTTGGATAAGTTTACCCTATAAATTCAAAAATAAAATGTGTTAAATGCAATACTGAAATACACTCTCACTGATCTTTTATCCACAGAATTTAACTTATGTGAGTTTTCTTGTGTTTTTTGTTTGTTTGTTTGTTTGTTGTTGTTTTTTTATCCTAGCACCAATAGCTGCAGGAACTGGCCCCAATTTTTCTCTCTCAGATTTGGAAAGTTCTTCATACTACAGCATGAGTCCGGGAGCCATGAGGAGGTCTTTACCCAGCACATCCTCTACCAGGTAAGGTGGTTGATGGCTCTTAAAAAGGTCATGCTTCATAGTTACATGCCTTGATTTTAGTTCTAGGCCTGCTAAGTGCTTAGCAGTGCACCTAAAGCAGTAGAAGGTACTAGATGGTGGGTTCCACCACAACAGACTTTGAGACTCATTTGGGAGGGAAAGCAAATGCACATGCAGCAGAAACAGATAGACCAATAGATAAATCATACACACACACACACACACACACACACACACACACACACACACACCAGACAGTAAAAAACTGAGCTAAATTATGTAACAAAGGATAAAAATAGATAAAGAAGGTTTTATCCAAAAGAGTGACTCATGCTCAGCGATAATGTTGGTTAGGGTTGGTGAGATGGAAAGGGAAAGGAATGCTGTTCTGTGGGGGGGTGAAAACACTAGCAAAAGCATGAGGAAGGATGGATGATGAATGTAGCATGTTCTCAGGAAATTAAGGATGAGGCTTGACTAGAAAAACGGATGAGTGTTTCAGCATGTTTAGCACAAATTTGACCCTGATGATACCCAGTCCTCATGCCCACAGCACATGCAGAAGAGCTCAGTCCCAGCTCTTCTCCTGCTGAGCCTTCAAAGGACTCAAAATCCAGTCTGTTGGCGCTGCTCTAAGAGCTAAACCTATTTGATGGCCTGGTGGGAGGTTATGAAAGTGAATGGGTCCTGTAGCAGGGTGAGGCTGGATCGAACCCCAGTGTACCTGGAGACCTCAAAAGAGTAAAGATGGAGGAGCACCCCAAGATAATGATTACAAGATGTTTGATCCCCTTGAAGTCACAAAGCTAAAATAAAAATGAAGCGCTTTTTGCAAGATCCTGTTGTCTCTAGATAACCTGGACTAGAGGGAGAGGATTAGGCATTAAACCCACAGTATTCTTTTACAAATTGGCTTTAGCATTGGACTGTGACAACAAAGAGTGGCACACAATGATCTTTAATGTTTGTCTACTTTGCAGAAAAACATTGGACAAAGGCATATTCTTCCACAAGCGAGTACCAGTTTTATTGTTTGAAACAATGTCCCAATTATAGACATTTTCTTTGGTAGAGACTCATGCTTACCTGGATTTTATATTTTAATCATCATTACTTACAAAAAATCAGCTTAGTCATTACAAATACCTTGAAAGTAGTTAAAGAAACAGTTATTCTCTATATATAACCACCAAATCCTGCCATCATCTTTCATGTTGCTTGAATGTTCCTACAGTTCACTGCGGTATCAGCTCCTCGGGAGAAAAAAAAGTCTCAGCTCCAAAGTCCATTTATAATAAAAGAATGAGATTGTGAACACATTCAGGTGCTAATGCATTTTGAGGATTTTGAATGTTTGCTGATGGAAGAAACATTGTGTGTAACTGCACTCAGTCAACATGGAAAAGCTTTGCAAACACTTGTGGGCAGTGATTAATTTAAAAGTTGACAGGCTGTTTGTTTTTCATATGTGTTCTGTGCATGTACCATGGATGTCCCAAACAGTGCTCCTCACCCCATCCCTTTGACTTCCCCAGCTGTTTTTGTTGCCTTTTGTTGTGACTCGCTGAGGGGATACCTGGTCATTAATGTCATTCTCATAATCTGCAAATAACTATCCCTGATAAGGAGCTAATTATGAACAGCATCAGTAGTTAATAACTCAGTAATATGTTTGCTTTACTCTCATTAGACTCTCCTTAGATGATTTTTAAAAAATTATTCTTTAAACATATAGACTCAGCAGAATTATCTTTGTACAGGTTAGAAAATGTACCCAAAAGAATACCCCAGCTCTACATATAGAAAAATTCACCAAAGTTCATCTGTTTATGATTTTTTCATTGGTCACCTGCTCTGTGAGCAGCAGTATATTAAGTGCTTTACATTCCTGATACAATTAATCTTTGTAATAATTTTATAATATAGACAGTGTGGCCATTTAACAGTGGATGAACCCAAAGTTCAAAGAAGTTAAGTAACTTACCAAGGTCACAGACCTAGTAAATTGCAGTCTACTTTCAAATGCAGGTCTGTTGAATTTAACATGCTATTTTACACTGACACCTCTTATGAATGGGAGTGTAAGATAGAAATAGTATAGCATGAGGCCCCCAAAAGGAATATGTAGCAGCTCTACTTTTCCTGGACCTTTAGCCTTTGCTATCTTGAATTACTATTACCATCTTTGAGGTATGTACAGGTCCTGTCTGCCCACCAGGAGTGGACATCCCTTAGAGGACAGTAACTAACTCTTTAATTCAGGAACAGACATTATTAAGTACCAGGGATATTGTCCTTGTCACTGTAGATATAAAGTCAAGTAATAGGAGCTTTGCAATCTAGTGGTTAGAGACTGACAAGTAAATGGAAATTTTTAGTTCGGGGTACTACGAGGCACTTGCAGTTTTGTGAGTCCAAGGTAAGGCTTCTTGGCTTTGCACAGAGTAGGGATTAAGCAAATATTTGGAATAAAGGTAATAGTATTACCTTAATTTCTAGGTAGAATTGCTAAGAACACAAGAACAAATTTCACACACAAGTAGAGGTGGTCCATCACTCCTTAGAAGAGAATACAAGATCTTATTGCTACCTTCTTGCTTCCTTAAATGTTTCTGGGAGAAGAGATCAGTGTGATAGAAAGTCAAGAGCAAGAAACAAAATTTAATGACTGATTTAAAAAAGATAAAGGAGATTGATATGCATTCATTGTTGTTTCTATACCTCTTCCTAGTAAAATCTCCAAAATTATAGAAGAGGTAGTATTAAAAATATACTTTTTACCCCCAAAAAACCTCATCAAGATAAACAAACTGTCAAATTTATGAAGTTGATAAGCTTGGTTAGGAGGCTCTGCACCTGTCTATCCTGGCACTTCTAATGTTTCCACTCTTGGATCTTTTTCTCTCCATCATCCTGTACCTTCATCCTGTCAATATTTATCCCATGTCTCTGCAAGTCCTTGATTCTAAACTAAGGTGTCAGCTAATAACTACAGACTCTTCACCTTTAGAATTTAATAACTGCATAGCATATTTGCATTTTATTAATAGATACCAAGGAAACCAAATCTTGGAAAACTCAGAAAAATATTAATAATGGGGAAATGATGGGCAGTGGTCTTTTGAGATAAATCTCATTGAATCATGATACCTGGGCAAATCCTTGTCATAAGTACTCATGGCTATTTCTAAGTCATTAGCCCAAATCAGCAGTTTCTATACATATGCTATTTACCAGACACTGTGGCAGGCACTAGAGATTAAAAGTTATCTTAGATATGTATATCTTATACATATACATACATATATATACACTAATAAAAGGGTATCTATATTTGCTAATTAGACCAGGATACCTCCTGGTCATCCTTCCCGGCAAAGTCATGGTGGTGGGGCCAAAGCAGAGGCGGTTAGGATGATCAGGCTGGCAGGGGAGGGCAGTTGGAGGCAGCCAGGCTGGCAGGGGAGGGCAGTTGGGGGTGAGCAGGCCGGCAGGGGGGTCAGTTGGGGGAGAACAGGCTGGCAGGGGGGTGCAGTTGGGGATGAGCAGCCGGCAGGGGGCTGTTAGGACACCCCCCATGCACGAATTTCATGCACTGGGCCACTATTATGTATATATATCTATATCTATTATCTATTATCTATATCTATTTATATCTATATATCTATATCTATATCTATATCTATCTATATATATAGAGAGAGGGGGGGGGGGAGAGAATCCCTTTCACCACAGACCTCATAGTCCCATCAGATCTTGTCTTTGTTTATTTGCCAGGGAACATAAGGGAAATATTTATTTCTTTCCAATTTTTACTCTTCCAACTTCTAAAATTATTTCAAATAGCTTCAATTTTAAAACACAACAGCTAATTTTAAATATGGAAAGAGAGGCTAGAAACCATATGGAAAGATAGGAGAGATTGTTATGTTAGAGTTATTCTCTAAATTTACCCCCCTGAGTTTCCTGGTTGCCAAGGCAAGAAAGGGAAGAAATAGTCTATGCAATCTTTATTTTCTAATAAAGGAGAAAATGGAAATTCATTCAAAGAAACCATATTTTTTCTGGCTTTATGTAATAGGGATTTTTTTTTCAAGTTTTTATTTTTCATTGAACTTCAAGGAAAGCCAAGCAAAGAACATTAAATATGCTATTAAAGTTATTTCCTTTGGGTACCAAGCTAGCGTGCAACAGACATGTTGCTTTCCTGTGGTCTGGCTTTAATGAGAATAGAACTTAAAGTCAAAGAACACTGGTATGCCAACTTTAATAACTAGAATTTCATGCCTTAAATTGGACCCTCCACATTTTTTTTTTTATTTGGATTGTTTCAATAGCCTCTTAATTATCTCCCTGCCTCTCAGTTCCATCCCTTCTTCCCCCTTTCCTTTTCTAAATCTTTCACTTGCGCAGCTACCAGAGTGACCTTTCCTAAAATGTAACTGATGTCACTCCCTGTTTAGACTTTTTCGGGGAGGGGCGGGGGAGAGGGGAGGCAGGGACTCTTTTGCTGTGAAGTCCAGACATACAGTACCTTCTTTACCCTCCACCACCTCTTTTGCTGTGCCATGCTTTTAACTTTACCCATACCAAACACCTGGCAGTCCTCTGGGCATGTCACACTTTACTCAGGATGTTGTTTCTGCTTGGGGTTTACCTCCCTCCGGAGCAATGTTCAGAGTACCCACTAACCTGAGTGATGTATCCATCAGAGTGATGCCACCCTGCCTAGTGCTGGGCTAATCCTGAAGTGCCCCAGGCGTGCCAAACATTAACCCTTTAAGTTTTGGATCAGGAGGTTCTCCCAGGGCAAAGATAGGGTGGCAAGGTTGGGGGAAGCTGATGGGCTTCAGACGTCAGCACTTTGTCAGTTGGTAAAGTAGTATTTCAATATTTCAAAATCCCAAATAACTGCCTGGGTGGTGTGTCAGCTGAATAGCAGCCTATCTCGGCCCTCTTCTCTGGCTCTTTGACACTCAGCTTACAGACAGTTCAAGAACCATCTCCTCTGGAAGTTGATCCCCACCTCCCAGGCTATTACTGTTTCCTTCACCCTTCTAAGAACCCGTTATATCCTTTGTGTGGTTCCACCATAATTCCTATTTTCCTCTTATGCACAATTGTGTTTACCTCTCTGTCTCCATTCACTAGAGCCAGGGGCCATGTCTGATTCAACTCTGTACCCAGCATTTTGCCTAGTAGCTGGCATGTAGGAGGTACCCAACAAGTGTTTGATGAATGAAAACATTAAACATTCTGTACCCTGACAATAAGCATTCCCACTAGGTATGACACCTCCCCATTCTGGTATGATAATGACATAATAATCGGTTAAGACAATTCCAACCACATCAGCAGCATGTAGCATTTCACTACCTTTTATCTCCTCTTCCTCAAGCCTCACATTGAGAGGGGGGAAAATTCAGTCCTTTAACTGGAGGAAATTTGTCAACCATACCACTCCAAAAATAAAACAAAATTCCTACCCTGATGGAACAGAGATTCATTTTGGTAATTTCTTTGTAGAGGAAGACATAAAAGTCATCAGGCCCCTCTTTTTCCACGTCCCTCATTGTCACATAGGAGGAAGGAAATGCAGTTCTTCCTCCTATGTTTGTCTCTTTTGTTCCCTTATCTCTACTGTTCTAGATCAGTACCTGGAATATTGTAACTGCAGAAAATATTTTTTTAATGAAAAGATTCAAGTGGAAGATGAGAAAACATGGCCAAAAAATAATAATCCAAGCTTTCCTTGAAGGGTCATGCACCCTAATTTTTATCTTTTCTGAGGTGCCAGAAATTATCCAACTGATGTTTAGGGGAATTGCTGATGGCTGTGTCCCAGCCACAGCCTGAGGAGTATGAAATGTGGGCTTCCTCCTGATACTTCCAGGTGGAGCCAGGAGTGCAAGAAAGCTACCAGTTCCTCAAAGGAAAAAGAAACAGGATGTGGCAGCAGCATTAACTTGAATGACAATAAAAATCAAGCCCAGATATTTGGAACAAGACAGACAAGACTTTGTTCCATATCCAGTGACTCACTAAAATGAACGAGAGCCTGGAAGAGTCCTAGAACTACACTGAGTTGTCCAGTTGCTTCCTCCCGTGGCTTTCTTTCAGCCAGACATGCAATGTCCACCTGAAAGGTAGTTTGGATCGCCTTTAAACATGCACCCTTGTGTTATTCCAGCTCCACCAAGCGCCTCAAGTCTGTGGAGGATGAAATGGACAGTCCTGGTGAAGAGCCATTTTACACAGGCCAAGGACGCTCCCCAGGAAGCGGCAGCCAGTCCAGCGGATGGCATGAAGTGGAGCCAGGTAAGCGGGCAGGTGGTGGCATGTGCCCAACTGTGAGAGCAATAGCCCTTGGGGGCCCACAGTGTGCGTAGAATGAAGAGAGCAGGCTCAGAGCAGTTGACTCTTTGGCTTTTCACCATGAGCACAGGTTTGAATCTCACTGATCATTTATGAGAGGGTAGCAGTGAGAGGTAGCAATTCAACTGAAAGGGAAGACTGGTAAGAATAGTGGGTGATTTTCTACCCGGACATATTTTTACCTGCACGATAACCCAGCATTCCATTCACTTTTGTTTTTATACTAATTGCCTTTGGGGTTTGGTTTTTTTGAATTACCGTTTAGTAATCAAAATAAAACCCTATCAACTTAGCTGGATGGATAATACTGGAAAGAAGAATGTGCTACCTGTGCTACAATGTTTATACAGTACTTGGATTTTTATAAAATGAGACTACTTTAAAATATTTTTTCCTATGACCGGGTACCATCATGATTGTTTTTCTATTTAAATGGAACAGTAGTCTTTATGTCCATTTTAATGAACTAAGTAAATGATGACTTCTAGTCTAACCTCCTGGGATGGTCTAATCTTGATTCTGGAGTACTGAGAATAATGTGGATAATTACGATAGCAGAACTTCTTTGAAGTCTTTCTCCATGGCTGAACTCCACCTGGGCCAAGGGGAATCTTCTCCAGCACCTTCCCCAAGATGCAAAGTCAAGCGGGTATAGAGGATAGAGTTTGGGCAGAGTGTAATCCTGGATCCAGCTCCTTCTGCCTGTGTGATTATGGGCAAATTCCCTAACCTCTCTGAGCCTGTTTCCCCATTTTTATAATCTGCCAATAACAATAGTTGTTTCATTGCTCTTGGGAATTAAAGGAGGTAACATATACAAACCATCTGAGATTTATATAAAAGATGCTTTGTGACCATTCTCCCTCACCCATGCCTCAGAATAATTTCCTGCAAGGACAGACAAGCACCAAGAAAATGTTTGAACTAACCTCTTTATCTTCAAATCTGAACTCCTCTCTCTCTCTTCCCTAACACATCAAAGACAGTTCTCAGAGGGTGTAACTATAAAAGAATAGCAGGAGGGAGATTTTGGGGATGATGGAACTGTTCTGGATCCTGATTGTGATGGTGGTTACAGGAATCTGTACATGTGTTAATATTCATAGAAATATATACCTTCCCCTCACCCCCAATTCCAGAGACCCCAGGCAGTTTTACTGTATGATTGCAAAGAAAACTAAACCTTGGGCTCCACTGGCTGAGTCTTTTATCCTCTTTCCTTTACTAAAATACAGAAATTTCAGTTTTTCTTGCTTCTACTTTATCTTCTTAACTTATTCATTCATTTACTCATTCAACTCATTCAATAATCATCATGGGGAACGTTCTCTGGATGGAACACTATGACTAATTCTGGGAACTCAAGGATAAATGGGAAGGCTGTGACTCCTGTTTTTAAGAAATTCACAACTGGGGGGTGGGGAACACATCTAAGAAGCTCATAAAGTGAGATGGGAAGTACAAGGGATATTAGACTGTGGTTCACCCTTTTCTATTTTTTTTTTTTAATCCTAACCCAAACATATGTTTATTGATTTTAGAGAGGGAGGGGCAGGAGATAGGGAAAGAGATACAGAAGAGAGAGAAACATCCATCACTTGCCTCCCATATGTGCCTCAACCTAGGGACTGAACCCACAACCTAGGCATGTGCCCTGACCAGAAATGAAACCCACAATTTTTCAGTGTATGCTATGGTGCTCCAGCCAGCTGAGCCACCGGGCCAAGGCAATCTCTTTCTGTTTTTACAAACACAGCACCCAGAATGTAAAGGGGCTTCTATAAAGGTCACATCAGCGTCGTTCCACACGTACATCATGCCAGTTCGCCTAAAGTGGCTAAGAAATAACCCCTGGCCTAAGTGAAGATGAAAATGCTGACTCCTCCTTGCCACTAACTGCATCATCAGCAGGACCTCAGCAGAGTGCCAATGAAAAGTTTATGTGCTATTAAAAAATTAAAAGATGTAAAACTTTTTGAACCCTTCCTAAAAGGCTAATTATAGTCCTTGCCACTTTACCTGCTTCAGTGAAAATCATAATTGATATCTATAGGTTTGGTAAATTTGTGCTGGAGTAGTGTACTGATACCGTTTTAGGCATCTCAAAACTGCTTTTAAGTGCCAATGGCAAGGAAGCTCCTCTACCATGAGACTGTTCTTTGGGTCCTTAGGTAAATTGCTTTGGGGCATATTTGGGGACAGTAGGGTTAGTGGAATATAGAGTACTTTGATCAGTAACATTTTTATTCAGAGTAACTCTTCTCTATCTGCACATTCTGGATCAAATGATCATGAATTTTAACACCCAAATACTTGTGTTATTTGTAGTCATTAAATAACTACAGTTTAATGGCTGAATCCTTTTGGGAGGATAGATGGATGGATGGATAGATAGATAGAACTACATATATATAATGTATAATTGTGAGGGATTTCTCTAAACATTTAATATATAAATGTAAATATATATATTACACATATGTAATTTCTTAGAGAAATTTCCCACAATTATATTCCTAGGCTGATTCTTGGTTCTCTATCCCTAAGTTATTATAGAAAAATGCAGTTTCATGGTTTATGTGTATGAGAGGCAGGACCGGGGGAGGGAGGACAGTGGGTAAATTTACATTTGGCCACATTCTGCATAGAAAGTCATAATTGAAACAGGGCCTGAGGGGACATTAAAACTCAACTGGAGGATGTTGTACATGTTCATGGTGACTTTGGTGTCATTAACTCACACCAGCCATTTTAAATGGATAATTTATGCTGCCAGATGGTCCTTTTTGGGGATTTTCCATCCAGCCCAATCCCCTTTTTGGCACAGAGAACACCCTTATGTTGTTCCCACACTGATCTGGGCCTGCACGGATTTCCCCAGGGCTACAGTTCATTGATTAGGAGGCTTTCCGGTGGTTCACTCATGTAAATTACCTTCCACGCATGTGGGGAGTTCTGTATATCTCTGAATGCACCAGCAGCCTCTTGGTTGCCTGCACTTAGGATAATTCTCTCAAACAAGTACTAAAGGATACTTTGTGTATGTCTCAGATGTGAACAAGGCCTGTGCTTACTCCTCTCTCAGAGAGCTTTGCATCTGTTTACCTGCCCTGAGATGCTTTGTCAGGACTCGGGACCCAAAGAGGGCGGAAGGTTGCCGGGAGAGACAAATTTCCTTAAGCAACAGGAAGGCTTCGGAAAGTAAAACAAACCAGACATACAGTAAATTACATAGGCTCTTTCAAATATCTTTTGTAGAATCCTGTTCCCCATTAGTTTATCTCAGCACTTTTGTGCACAGCTCTTATTATCTGGGAAGAAGGGCATAGGAGATTAAAGATGATGTTAGTTTAAAAACATCAGACAACCTCAAGCTGACTTTCGCTTCTCTTACAATGCTGCATTTGTTCCCTCCACTTAGTTCTGTCTCCCAGTTATCTCAGGACTGAGTTAGATTCTCGAAGCTTTGAAGCTAATCACACACTGATGAAATGAGTCCTATGAAATTCTATCAAGCAAAAATGCACATGCTATCAACTTGTGTTTATCTGCACAAATGAAAAATTGCAGAGAAACTGATAATGCAAATAAATAGGAAGGAAACCAACAGACAGGCACCTACGTTGCATGATGCTTTCATATATTAATAGATGGTTAAAATTATAGCTACAATTCTTTTTAAGAAAAATTACCCTTTTCTAAACTGTGCAAGATAGAATGATCCTGGTTTATTAAAGAGGAAAACAGAATTATAATCCAGAATCCAGACTTCAACTCAATTTGATTTCAGAGTGTAAGTTTTGTCTTCTACATTCAATAACCACTTTGACCATAAATGTTTTTTACTTGTTTTTTTTTTTAAGTCTCTTACCCTGGACTTGTATTGAAATTAAAAACATAATATTAAAAGAAAACAAACAATGAACTGATCAAAAGACCTGGAAAAATCTCCCACTTTCCTTATCCCAAATCCCTGGTATACCTAAGGCCCGTAAAGGAGTGTAGGTTATTAAGTACACAGAGGATACATGTATAAGTAAATTGTATTAACTGTTAACAAAGTGAAATAGTTTTCACTTTTTGCCCATAAAATCAAATAATCCTCAGCATTCAGATCTGGGTTCAAATACTAGCTCGTCAAATGGGGTCCTCGTGATATGAAATAGCTGCTGACTCTCTCCCACCCTCCCATAATTTACAACGCTGTTTTCCTTTCTTCATGCCACTAGCTACTGCTCTTGTCTGCTTCCTCCCTCTACAACATACATTTCATGAGCAGTGGGACTAACTGGTAGTCTGTCTTTTCTACTGCTATGTGCCCAACACATAAGAGTGCTTGGCACATAATAGTCACTGAGTAAATATTTATTGATTGAAATCTATAAAGTCAAGAAATTTGAGTGCTTTCAAAAATCTGAAGCAGGATTTGCTACCAATAATTCTCTCAGAATTGATGTTTCGGATAATCTCAACATATATGCTGTTATTCAGTCAAATCTAGTTATTAACAAGTAGAAAGCAAAATGATTGGTAAGGCTCGGCCAAGGGTTCCATTGACAAGTATTAGTATAAAAAAACATTATTAAAACTGTCCTTTGCTTTAAGGGGTTTTGCTTTAAGTTAATCAAGCTTCATGGGTTACTGAGTTGCATAACTTCCTGCATTTGAGACCACACCTGCAGCGAGAACAGACATATCAGTTTCAGCAGAAGTGAAGATAATTACTTATTGTGAAAAAACATGAAATTATAGGCATTTTCAGAGAAATTAAGTATTGTGTTTGAAACAGGAGTAAGGGCTACTTAAATTTTCTCCTATAAAAAATATTCAGAGTTCAATCATGCCTTTAATTATGTTTGATTGTAAAACTTTATTAGCAAACATAATTACAATAGCCAAAATGATGGAAGGTCTAAATATTGCAACAAAACTTTTTAAGTCAT